GTCCTTTCTTGGCATTTCTCAATGATTGACTGCAGCCGCTCGTAGAACTGATCTTTAATGTCGTCGTTGCTATCATTGGTGGGTGCATAACATTGGATAATATTCATTAAGATCCCCTCCTTCTTTGTTTTGAATGATGCTTTGATGATTCTGGATCCGTGAGACTCCCATCCTACAAGTGCATTTCGTGCTACTTTGGACAGCATAAGAGCGACTCCCTGAGTGTGTGGAGCATTGTCCTCCTCGTGACCGGAGTATAGCAGCATCTCTCCCGTAGCTAGCCTTTTCTGTCCAGCTTGGGTCCAGTGGGTTTCGCTGATTCCCAGTACTGCTAAGTTGTATCTCCTCATTTCCATTGCTATTTGACTGGTCTTCCCGGTTTCCCACATTGTTCGAACGTTCCATGTACCTATAAAAATTTTTGCTCTGGTTGTTAGAAGGGGCATCGGCCTCGTGGCTTCCGAAGGAACTCGGCTTTCACCATGAAGCGTCATAATTCTTCTAACTGAAGACCTTCTAACTCCCAGGGCAGAGTTTAAATGGTTTGAATTATTTTTTTCTGGTAAGCGTTTTTTTAGCGAGTTAGTTTTCTACGGGATGGGGACGCTAACCCCATGCCCAACCCTCCTCCTTTACCCGGGCTTGGGACCGGCAGTAACTCTAGAAGAGCTACAGGCGGAGTTAACCTCATTGAAGATTTGGGATTATTCGAAAATGTCAAGTGAGCAACTCAATGAAGAAATAGTCAGACGCCTTCATACTTACAGTGATCGTTTACAAGCAGAGAATTCCTGGTTGACAACCTCTCCATCCTGACTCCGTCGAGAAGTGATCGTGCCATCATAGCCTTCAATCTTACCAGCAAACCTAAGCTAAAACATCCTACTAACAACAGGCATTCGAATTCCGAAGTTTGAGATGTGCCGGATTTACAGAACGATCTACAGCACGTGGACTGGGAAGTGCATCCTCAATTTAATAATAGTAATAACAATAGCTTGAACGCTTAATGGGATTTTTTACGAGCTAAAAACCAGTCTGTCCCGCAAACAGTCCTCTAAAATTACAAGCAGCGTACAGTCATAAATCATCGCACTCTTCTAATGTTAAGACTCTAAAGGTACTGTTAGGTGAATTACAAACGAACCAGTCACGACAACACTTATAGGCGGTTCAAACGAGCAAGGAAGCAATGCACAAAGGCGATAAGCGGAGACAGAGTACGGTATCAGATAAAGCTAATCGATAAATTCGTCTCCAGTCCGAAAGGCCTGTTTCGTCATGAAGCTCCTCTTCTAAATGCTAAAAGCAAAGTTCTCTAGTTGTTAGGTCTTGATGTCTCAGCCAACAACGACAGTGATACCCCGAAATTCTGGCAGAACAGTAGTTTCAAACATTTCGACCGTTCCCACTCGTGATCTGGTGCGGATGCGTGGCCGAGTGCCTTCAGATAGGTGAGTGCATTAAAACTAATTCGGTCTGCATCAAATGTCCAAGACTTACAGGGCTATTGATTTTTGGGATTTGTTCACTGCTACACTATAAACATTCAAGCTATCTGTCGATTGCATTTCTCTCAATACCCTGAAAAATTACGGGGTCCCAGATATACAATGGTCTAAGAGACCACAGACTTCTTTGTACCCTAACAACACGGTCTCAATAAGGATCACTCCTGTATAATCAACCTGTTGACCACGGTGAATCAATTGAAAACCATCTTTGATAGCAAGAGGAAGGTTGATGTCATATATCTTGATTTCTCAAGAGCTTTTGGTAGGGTCAATCATGCATATCTTATCGATAAGCTTGAACGTCTGGGTATCAATTCATCACTGATAGATTGGTTTACTTCATATATGACTAATCGA